AATTTTAGTCTGGATCCTCTCTCTTGATTAGTTTCTTTAGATGTACAGATTTTAGAAGCTTTATCCTATGTTATATGTCTATATGAGTGAGTATATACAGTGTGTGTCTTTCTGCTTCTGGGATAGCTCACTCAGGATGATTCTTTCCAGGATGATTCTTTCCCACCATTTACCTGCAAATGTCATGATTTCCTCATTTTTCATTGCAGAGTAATACTCCATTGTGTAGATGTACCACAATTTCTGCATCCATTCTTCAGTTGAGGGGCATTTGGGCTGTTTCCAGCTTCTGGCTATTACTAATAAAGCTGCTACAAACATAGTTGAGTAAATGTCCTTATTGTGTACTTGAGCCTCTTTTGGATATATGCCTAGAAGTGGTATGGCTGGATCTTGAGGAAGCACTATTCATAGTTGTCTGAGAAAGTGCCAAATTGATTCCCAGAGTGGTTGTACAAGTTTACATTCCCACCAGCAGTGGAGGAGGGTTCCCCTTTCTCCACAGCCTCTCCAGCATGTGTTGTCACTTGAGTTTTTCATCTTGGCCATTCTAATGGGTGTAAGGTGAAATCTCAGGGTTGTTTTGATTTGCATTTCGCTAATGGCTAATGAGGTTGAACATTTCTTTAAGTGTTTCTCTGCCATTCGATATTCCTCTACAGAGAGTTCTCTGTTTAGCTCTGTTCCCCATTTTTTAATTGGATTACTTGGTTGGCTGCTTTTCAGCTTCTTTAGTTCTTTATATATACTGGATATTAGCCCTCTGTCAGATAAAGGGTTAGTGAAGATTCTTTCCCAATCTGTGGGCAGTCATTTTGTTTTGAAGACAGTGTCCTTTGCTTTACAGAAGCTTTTCAGCTTCCTGAGGTCCCATTGTCCCATTTATTGATTGTTGTTCTTAGAGCCTGTGCTGTTGGTGTTCTGTTCAGGAAGTAGTCTCCTGTACCTATGAGTTCTAGGGTTTCCCGCACTTTTTCTTCTAACCGATTTAATGTGTCTGGTTTTATGTTGAGGTCTTTGATCCATTTGGACTTTAGTTTTGTGCAGGGTGATAAGTATGGATCTATTTGCATTTTTTCTACATGTAGACATCCAGTTGGACCAGCACCATTTGTTGAAGATGCTATCTTTTTTCCATTGAATGGTTTTGGCATCTTTGTCAAAAATCAGGTGTCCATAAGTGTATGGGTTTATTTCTCGGTCTTCTGTTCAGTTCCATTGATCCACATTCTGTTTCTATGCCAGTAACATGAAGTTTTTATAACTGTTGCTCTATAGTACAGCTTAAGATCAGGGATGGAGATACCTCCAGAAGATCTTTTATTGTAGAGGATTATTTTAGCAATTCTGGGTTTCTTGTTATTCCATACGAAGTTGAGATTTTTTTTTTATTATGTAAAGAACTGTGTTGGTAATTTGATGGGAATTGCATTGAATCTGTAGATTGCTTTTGGTAAGATTGCCATTTTTACTATGTTAATCCTGCCAAGCCATGAACATGGGAGATCTTTCCATCTTCTGATATCTTCTAATTCTTTCTTCAGAGACTTGAAATTTTTTTCATACAAGTCTTTGACTTGTTTGGTTAGGGTTACACCAAGGTACTTTATGTCATTTGTAGCTATTGTGAAAGGTGTTGTTTCCCTAATTTCTTTCTCAGCCCTTTTGTATACAGGAGTGCTACTGATTTTTTTGAATTAATTTTGTATCCGGCCACTTTGCTGAAGGTGTTTATCAGCTGTAGGAGTTCCCTGGTAGAGTTTTTGGGTCACTCACGTATACTATCATATCTTCTGCAAATAGTGATAATTTGACTTCTTCCTTTCCCATCTGTATCCATCTTGATCTCCTTCAAGTGTCTTATTGCTCTAGCAAGGACTTCCAGAAGAGATGTTGAAGAGATATGGAGAGAGTGGGCAGCCTTGCCTTGTTCTTGATTTTAGTGGGATTGCTTTAAGTTTCTCTTCGTTTAGTTTGATGTTGGCTGTAGGCTTGCTGTATATTGCCTTTACTATGTTTAGATATGTGCCTTGTATCCCTGATCTCTCCAATACTTTAAACATGAATGGATGTTGGATTTTGTCAAATGCTTTTTAAGCATCTAGGGAGATTATTATGTGGTTTTTTTCTTTCAGTTTGTTAATATGGTGGATCACATTGATGGATTTCCGTATATTGAACCACCCCTGCATACCTGGGATGAAGCCTACTTGGTCATAGTGGATAATATCTTTGATGTGTTCTTGGATTCGGTTTGCAAGTATTTTGTTGAGTATTATTGCATTAATGTTCATAAGGGAGATTGGCCTGAAATTCTCTTTTTTTGTGTGTGTGTGTGTGTCTTTGTGAGGTTTAGGTATCAAGGTGACTGTGGCTTCATAGAATGAGTTTGGTAATGTTCTTTCTGTTTCTATTTTGGGGAATTGTTTGAAGAGAACTGGAGTTAGCTCTTCTTTGAAGGTCTGGTAGAATTCTGCACTGACACCATCTGGTCCTGGGCTTTTTTAGGATGAGAGACTTTTGATGACCGCTTCTATTTACTTGGGGGATAAAGGACTATTTAATTGATTGACCTGGTCTTGATTCAGCTTTGGTAAGTCGATTTGATCAAGAAAATTGTCCATTTCATTTAGATTTTCAAATTTTGTGGCATATAGATTTTTGAAGTAAGTCCTAATGATTATTTGGATTTCCTCAGTGGAGAATTAAGCCCTATCTCTGCATCAAGCGCCCCAGAGGAAGCCTCCAAGAGTTAAAATAATGCAACATTGTTAAAATGTTAATTTGGACTTCTGTACCTGTGCCACAATTGAATATTTGAGGGGTTGATTACATTTCTCTCTGTGGGCTCAGGAAACTGTTAGTCTCACATTATCTAATTTATTGAACCTATTTTGATCCTTACAGCTTTTCCATTAGTGGTAAATATATGTGGGACAAATGAATAGGACACTGCTTAATGAGCATTTCTGCTTAGAGGAAGAACAGTACCAAACTACATACACTACCATGGGAAAGTGAATGATAGGACCTTGGTACTCTGAGAAGATAGCCCTCCACTCCAATAAGTTAGACCCTTTCAGCCAGGGTCTACCTGTGGTTCATGTGAATGCTGGTGAGGATGGACTCTCATGTTAATAAGAATGCCAATGCCCTTTTCTTTTTCTTCCTCCCCCTCGGGTGGTGTCTTGGTTCCCTGTAACTTTCAAACTTAAAAGAACCCTTGAAACAAACTGTGATAAAAATATCTTTTAAAAATAAGAAGCACATTTAGATTCTGGTGCACAGCAAATTCCCTGTGAAGAAAAGTTCCAAATTTGTGACTCTATTTGCATTCCCAGAAACACAGAGAATCTTTGTGCCTAATACGTGACAAATAACAGTGTTAAAGCAGGCATTTTAAGGCTCTAATTATGCACAGGTTCTCATTCTTGCTAGTGTATTTACAATGGGAAACAATATAAAATTTGTACTTCCCCACAACAAAGCTGATATTTTAATGCATTTTAACTCACACTAATACCATGTAAAATGTTAAAAGTATGTGAAAAAAAGGTGCTAGGGTACTACTGTACCCCAGAAAATGGATTCTAAGATATAGAAGGAGAGTCCAAGGATCAACTCCTGAGAAAGGGGAGAAGGCACCAGGAGTGAGGGATAGGAGAAACTGAGCAATGACACAGGCTCAGCCACAGCCTGACCCACCCTTTCTTTTGTGAGCTCCATGGAGATGCAAACCAAATCCTTAGTAAAATAGCAAAAATGTATTTTCCTATGTGTGCATTTGGTTATGCATCCAGGTAGACAAACTTAGGGTTGTGGCTAATCCTGGCCACCAACTCCCTTCCCAAATGCAAATGTGAGTCCAGCATGCTTGATTGAGCCAGCAGATGCTCTCGATGGTGACAAGCCCACTGAGTCCAAGCCTAAGAACTTTCTTAATCCGTCATAGGACCATGGGTCAAAGATGTGTGACACACCAAGTCTCAGGCAGAAAAGGATGGTAGGGGGATGTCAGCTTTTGAAACAATGAGTTCCTTCTGAGTAGGTGTGTCTCAGAATGAGTCTTCCTTCTGTCAAAGAGAGAGATGATGAGGGTGAGTGAGGGATGATATCCCTCCATGACATTTGAATGGAAAAGACAAATGGCCCTGAATTGGTTACCAGTTCCAAGCAATACAAAGAGAGAGTTTTTAATGCTCTGTCTGCCTTCAAGTAATCCCTGTCTCACAGGAATGTTGTTGGGGTCTGAGGGAGTCTTAAGTAAAGCATCCAACATAGATAATAAGGGTAAGTTTTAGCTTATTGCACAGCTGGGATCTGATATGGAGCAGTGTGCCCTTTTTTGCCACCAAGAGCACTTATACACTTATTGAGGGAACAAATTAGATGACTTCTTCTTGCCTTCTAATAGTCTTTGTTTGCTGAATGGAATTAGTCAGCTTTGTTTATTGAGATCTCGACATGCTTAACACTGAACTTACCTAGTGTAAAGGAAGCAATAGAAATACAGAATTCTCAGACCCAGAAAGGACCTTTGCAAGCACAGTCTATTTCCCTCCTAATTTCAGAGCAGAGGCAAGAGGTCGAACTGGGGGTAGTGGACTGAAACTCCAGCCTAGGGTGTTTTCTGTGGCAGCACATTCCTTGGGAGCGCCGCACAGATGGAGGGGGGCCTTCTCAGAGCAGCATCCTATCCCCAACACTTCCCTGAAGCGTCTGGCATGTTGTTGGCTCTCAGATAAAATACGTTTGTGAAAAAATTAATTCACCAAATCCGCATGCTTGGCTTTGGCAACCTTTCGATAGCTTGAGGCTTTGCAAGACTGCTGCCTTTAAGAGGCTTAAATTAAGACTCTTTCATGCAATGTGTAGAGAGAAAAAATCAGTTGCTTTATAGTTAAAAAAAATTACACATTCACATATATTGTTTGTTTTTAAAGGCACACCATGGAAGAATGCAACACTCTACACATGTCATATTTTTTTTTTTGTTTTAGGTAGGAGAAATGATCACGGGAGGTCAACGAACACCGATGTCTATGAAAACCACCCTGGACAGCAACAGGAAACAAACAAACCCCAGGTATGACATTCGAGACTGTCTTTATCTATATGATATCATTCTCGTCATTATCAGATGGGGCTAGAATGCAGCTTTTGGGATGATGGAAACAACTAATGTTTGAAAGTGCTTCAGACCATGCATGTTTATGTTTGTTTCAACACCCTAGAATTTTGGCTTTAGGGCTCTTGCAAAACTCCAGCCTGTGTCTGTGCAATTCAGAACTGCTTGTGTAAACACTATTAAGACCAATAATACCCACCATGACTGCTGACATTTGCTGAACACTTGCTGTGTACCCATATTAATCTATTCAAGCCCTACTTTCCAGGAAGGATTTGAGAGTCCCAGAGGCCATGGAACAAGTTGAAACAGTTTCTGTTCATAACATGGCTCTTACTACATCTCTGTATGATTCCCTTGTCACCCAAGCTTCTGGGCTCTTTAGATATGAGCGTCTATCAATGCCGTCTTGTCAGTGTCTTAATGTAGGTCATCTTCAGCCTTTGCTAAATTCATTTTCCAGCAGAACCCATTCTCAAGAGAAAATTTGCCCATTTCCAGTATTCCACAGTGCTATAAAACTCTTCTCCAACAGTGTGGCCCTGCCTCCTGAGACGCTTTAGGACAGAGCCAATCTCCCCTAAACATACCAGCATGAAAGTTATTTTGTACAAAGCTTTGTTGGTTCCCGGGCTCTGGAGTAAGACTTCAATTCCTTCAGCTATTCTATTTCTCATGACTTCCAAATTCTTAACATCCAGATGTTAAAATCTATTTTCGACTGAGACAAACTTAATCACTGTGCTACAAATGTATATGCTGAATTACATCATAAAAATACCTGCACAAGAGCTGTGCTTTGCATCATAAAGCCTCAGCTATTTGTATAGCCAAAGACAACTGTTGAAGTTTTGTAGTGATTTTTAAACATTAGATTTTCTTGAACAACAGGTATGAAACTGTGTTTCTACTGAAAACTGATTCGCTGTCTCTTAACTTTGGAAAGCCATTTGTATTTCTAAACCTTGGAAAGCCATTCATATTTCTCAACCTAGTGATTTTTACTACAGATACAAGATCTCAGGGTACCAAGACTTATTTGAATTTTAGAGTCATAATTAATCCCAACATCCTTAAGCCATGAAACATTCTGAATTAATTTGCAAATGATTGCAGGATAGGATGGCAAATCACTGCTGTTTGGAGGTGCTTACCAGACCCCAGGAAGACTATCATTACCAAGATTAGTTGACAGATGGAGATGTATTAGCAAAGAACTTCTACAAAGTGTTTCTTTCTTGTTTTCATCACCTCATAATCCTACCTCCAGGGCTTATGTGAAGGTTGGTTTTAGAGCCCCTTCATTGCTGACAAACTTCAGTGTATGCTTTGGCCCTTCTTTGTGTACATTGCCTCTGTACACACCTTCTAGCTGGAGCACTTCGCTGCTCAAACTGTGTAGACAGAGCAGGTAGAGGGAGAAGAGAGGATGAGCTTATCCATCATGGCTGGAGGGAAACACCTGGTGAGCAAGTGTGGCTTTTAATACGTGAGGAAAAGAAAATGAACAAGTTCTTCAAAGGTGGAGGTATTTATGAGTGCAGGTACTGAGACCCTTGGCAAAACAATCTTTCCTTATCAAAGTAGCACTGCACAAAAAAGCCTTTCTCATTGAGATGCAGAGTTGAATTCACCCAAGATCACAAAGCAATTAAGAGGCCAATCTAGAACCATGACGCTTTGGGATTATCCTTCCTAGTCTATGATCTATTAGTAAATGTTAGATTTTGAGTTGAAATTTAAAATGGTTTTATGGTTGGTGCTTCCCCCCCTTATTCGAGCAATCCTTGTGTTCTAGGGTTTTGTAGTCTTGACTTTTGTGTGTAGGTGTGCTCTATCAGGAACTGAGTTTCGTTTAAGGTATGATGTTTTTTCTAGTCCCACTGTCTCTTAAATATTAGTCATAAAGTCCCCTGTGTCACAAATCTTGCACCTGAAGGTTTGGATTCTATTTCTTGTCTGTATCTGTTCCACTTCTTTAATTTCCATAGCTTTATGAAAAGTTGTTATAACTTATAGGAACAGTCTTCTCACCTTCTTGGAGAGAAGTTTGGTTGTTCTTATCTCTTTGTATGCCTGCATTATTCTTTGAATCAACTTGTCTGGTTTCACATAGAAATTGCATCAGTCTATTTTTTATTACTACATTGAAAAACCACAAACAGACTATTTTTATAAACAGACAAGGTCTATTTCACTCAGTTCTGGAAGTTCAAGGACAGCCTGGTAAAGGCCTTCCAGGGGTGTGACTTTGCATCTGAGGCACATGTGTAAGGAGTAATCCTAGCACCAATCAGGAGGCTAGACAACTTCAGACTTCACAATATCAGTTTATTCTGTGACTTATAAAAACTTAATTTACCAAAACAAACAAACAAACAAACAAACAAAAAAACAAAACCCTTTAACTAAACCTTATTTACAACTTTCTCCAAAAACCAAAACAAACAAACAAAGCCACCTGTTTCACTCAGGTTTCCTTAAGGATTTGTTAGTTGTAAAGGAGTTTTTTTTTCTGTCTATCTGTCTGTCTGTATTTAATCTCTTTATGGCCTGATTGAAGACCCCTCGATTCTCTCTTCCCAATTCCACCCTTATATCTCCCTTCACCCATTCCTACTCCCCTACTCCTCAGAGAAGGATACCAACCCACTCCAGCATATCAAATCACAGCAGGACTAAGCGCTTCCTCTCCTCTTGAGGCCAGACAAGACAGTCAAGCTATGGGAAAGGGATCCAAATCAGAGTCAGAGTCAGAGATACCCCACTTCCACTCCAATTGTTAGGTGACGCATATGAAGACCAACCAGCACATCTGCTACACATGTGTAGGGCAGCTGGTGGTTCAGTGTCTATGAGCCCTCATGAGCCTAGGACAGTTTTCTCTGTAGGTCTTCTTGTGGTGTCCTTGACCCCTTGAGCTCCCTCAACTTTTCCCACTCTTCCACAAGACTTTCTGAGCTCTGCCTATTTGGTTGTGGGTCTCTACTTCTGTTTTCATCAGCTACGTAATGAGTCCTCTCAGAAGACAGTTGTGCTAGGTTCCTGTTTGGCTTGCAAGCGTAGCAGAATACCATTAGTAGTGTCAGAGGTTGGCTCCCTCCCATGGCGTGGATTTCAAGTTGGGCCTGTCATTGGGTGGCCATTCCCTCAGCCTGTGCTCTGTCTTTATCCCTACACTTCTTGTAGGCAGGACAGATTTTGAGTCAAAGGCTTTGTGGGTGGGTTGATGTCCCCCTAACTCCACTGGAAGTCCTATCTGGCTACAGAGGGTGGCGACTTCAGGCAACTTCAAGCTGAACTCTTGGCTAGGTTCACCCACATAGACTCCCAGGAACCTCCTAGTGTCCCAAAGATCCCCCCACTGATTTCCATTCTCTCTCCCAGCCTTCCTGCTTCCATCCCAACTGCACTCCTACAACTGATACCTGTCCCTGTTTTCCTCCCCACCGCCTTTTCCACCAGATCCCTCCCTCCATCTACTTAATATGTCTATTTTATTTCTCCTTCTGAATGAGCTTTAAGCAAAAAGCTCAAAGGAAGATCTAACACCTCTTCATGTTAAAAGTCTTGAAGAGATCAGGGACACAAGAGACATACCTACACACATGCATCAAGCCAACAGCCAACATCAAATTAACCATGGCACAGATGTAGCCCATGGCAGCTCAGTGTTCAGGAGGGTTCCCTAGTAATGGGAACAGGGACTGTCTCTGACATGAACTCAGTGGCTGGCTCTTTGATCATCTCCCCCTGAGTGGGGATCAGCCTTACCAGGCCACAGAGGAAGACAATGAAGTCAGCTCTGATGAGACCTTATAGACTAGGATCAGATGGAGGGGCACAGGAGAAAAAGAGGGAGGGAGGGTAGGGTTGGGAGAGGACAAGAGAGGGGGTTACAGCTGGGATACAAAGTGAATAAACTGTAATTAATAAAACAATAAATTAATTTTTAAAAACCAAAAAAACAAAACACCAAAATAAATATTGAGAAACTTAAAGCAATTCCTCTAAAATCAGGGACAAGACAAGGCTGCCTGTTCTCTCCATATCTATTCTATGTAGTACTTGAAGTTCTATCTAAAGCAATAAGAGAACTAAAGGAGATCAAAGGGTTACAAATTAGAAAGTAAGAAGTTAAAGTATTGCTATTTGCAGATGATATGGTAGCATACATAAGTGACCCCCAAAGTTTTACCCAGAGAAGTCCTATAGCATTGTTTTTAAAGGTACCATGCTGGATGACATTAGAACCTGTCAGGAGTCCCCAGCATATAGAAATTAAGGGTTGATACTATAGAATGTGCTTAGTTTTTCAGTATCTCTGTCTCTGCTGTCTCTCATCCCTCCGTACCCCCACTCTTTTAGAGGTTATGCTTAGAATTGTACATACAAATCAATTAAGTAGATTATTTTTTCTGGCATTAGCATTTCTTACAGTATTATTTGATGTATCTGTAAATTTTTATAATTTTAAGAAGTATAATTGTGTTATTAATTTTAGGGTATAATAATTTTATACTATTATAAGTACATCTATTATTGTCTATTCCTGGTAAGTAGAGATGAAATTTCCTCTTTCCTGGAAAAATATATTCAACATTAAACTGACCATTTAACCATTTGAAATTATGAAACTCAGTGGCATTTATTGTAGTTGCACCTTTATGGAGTCAACACTACCATGGAATTAACTTTTGTATTTATGTGTACCCAACAATATTACTAATATTTTTCAGCATCTCAGTCTTTTGTTGTTTGTGGGTTCCATTTAGATTGTCTATGTCTACAAGGACTGCTTACTTTCTTTAAAAATTTCACCTCATGATCTCTCTTTGATGCCTTGCTATATATGACAGCACAATATTAAGTATGGACAGTTAATGACCTGAATCTAAAATGTCTCTTCAAACTCAGTGTGATCTGTAGCTGGTTGTTTGTTTTGTTGTTGTTTGTTTGTTGTTGTTTGTTTTGTTTTGTTTTGTGGGGGTAAGGCTGTGAAACTTTTGGGAGGTATAACGTAATTGTCAGAAGTATGTCTCTAGGGGTAGGCCTTTTCAGGTGATACCTGCCAAGGACTTCTGTCATCCTCTGCATTCTGTTGTGCCATAATGTGTACATCCTCTGTCATACATCTTGTGGCTAAGACCTAATCTGCTCCATCATGTCTTCCTAATTATGGTAGACTGAAACTGTGAGCAAAAATAAATCTTTGCCACATTATTTTGTTTCTATCAGGCACAGTATTAATACACAAAACTTGTACCAGGAAGGGGGAATGTTGTGACAAACCCTAATCATGTGGATCCTTGGCCTCTGAAATGAGTCTCTGGGAAAATTTGAAGGAGTTTGGAGATGTGGGCTTGAAGAGCCCCAGGTTATGGAATATGCAGAGCCAAAAGAAATGAGCAGTGAAGCATATGTTTATGAAGTTTTAGGTGGGAGCAAGAAGCCTACTGGAAGTTGGACTAGAGGTCTGTATACATTGACTACTTTTCCAAGTGCTGTGACAGAATACCTGACACAAAGCAACTTAAGAAATAAGGGGTTTTGTTGCATTCACAGTTCCAAGGTACAGTGCATCATGGCAGGAAGTTACAGTAGCAGGAACATGAAGAAGTAGCAGGTTAAATGTCAACTACACTCAGGAAGCAGAGGGAGAGTAATGCTTCTCATCTCACTTCTTTTCATTAAGTTCAAGGCCCTAGCCCATGGAATAGTGCCGCCAACAAAGGGATGAGGCTTCCAATCCTTCAAGTATGCCCAGAGACATACTTCCATGATAATTCTAAATACCATCATGTTGACAAATTAACTACCTCAGAGCCATCCTTGTTACATTTGGGCAAAGAATTTGTTAAATTTTGCCTTATCTTGAAATATTCAGTAAATCTTAATTCAAAGGTGATAGACTGTTCAGTTGACAAATGGCCATGTTTCAAAGGTGCATAGTTATTGCTGAAGCTGTTGTCTAAATATGTTATCATTTCTGTAGAACCAGATGAGGAAGAGATTTGGGGAGCTGTTGGAAGCTTCCACCAAGATTACAGAGAAAAGACAGTGTGGAGCATGGTCATATCTCATGCAGAAATTCCTGTGTATAAAGTTATGAGAGTGAAGCCTAAATTGTAGTGAAGGTACTGTGAACATGGGAGCTATCAAGGGATTCCATGTTTGCAGAGCTGTGCATTCCTTTGGCCCTCATATCATGCATGCAGAGATGGAACTCTAAGATTTCACTTATGCTCTTCTGTTGGGCTTTGGTTCCATCCCTTCTTCCGATAGTTGAATTCCTCCCTTTTGGAATGCAACTTTTGCTCTGTGCTAAAGTTATGTTTTAGATATTACAGGGGCTCACAACTAAAATATTTCCCTGAGTATGAGTAGAGAGTGCACATGAACTTAGGCTTGTAGGATTTATTGGAGCTGGTAAGACTTTGTGATTGAATCTGGGGCCTTTCACATTCTAAGCTATCACTGAGCTGAATCCATCGCCCCCTTCCTTACTTTCAGCCTGTGCCTCACTAAATTGTTCTGATTAGCCTTGAATGCATGCTGTAGTCTAGACAGACCTTGAATTTGGAATCCCCGTCTTAGCCTCCTAATTTGTTTAGGTTACAGGGATGAACCACTATGCCTGGTAACTATGGAGACTCTTGAAGTTAGACTAAATGTGGTGTGTGTGTGTGTGTGTGTGTGTGTGTGTGTGTGACATAAAAGTACAAAACATATGTTATGTGACATAAAGCAGAAGAAAACAATGTTTCGGTAATAGATGAGAATCAGCCAGAAGGGAGATGAAGGGATGAGGAAGCACAGGAGGGTTCAAATAAAAACACAGTATAACAATGTGAAACACTTACTTTATGTGCTAACTACAAACCTTAATTTCACAAAGCCTCAGTGCCCTTTCCTCCATAACTCCCATTGTCCACACATTTACTGTTTCCTCCTTGGGGTTTCAACAGCGTGTGTGATACCAGTACCAGAGTTTTTGCCAAGTAGCCTGGGGCACAAGAGTTGAGTGTTTGCTATCTGTGCCTTCTTCCTTAAATTGTGGGCACGAATCATGTTCTAAGTTCCTAGTACTGACCACAGCACAAAGCACCTGAAAGTGGCATAGTAAAAAATCACACGGAACCAAACGATCTACTTTTATCCTTAGAGTAATGTCCTTAACCTCGGGTCTCTTTTCTGCATGGTTCCCCACCATCACTAAATGTCTGTTGAGTTCCTGGTATTGCTTTCTCTCCTTCACATCCATGAACTGATTTGATCTGGACAGTATTTTGTGTATGTTGTCATCAATTCAGCTTTAAAGATGAGTCCACTGAGGCATAATGCTGAGTCACTCACTAGGGATGACTAAGAAACCAGTGAGATGAAAGGGGGCTAGCACCGATCTGGAGGCCTTATTGATGGAGTTTTTAGTACTAATGTCTGAGGATCAAAAGCTACTGTATGTACTGTATATAGTGCCTTATTTTCTCTGAGAGTCAGTATTTGCAGTGCTAATGTCATAAACCTGGACTTGCTCCCTGGACTTGATTGTTCATCTGCAAGACTTTGACTGACATTCCCCTGTCCTACTGCTTCAGAAGGAGGTGGCAGTGGGGTCATCTGAAGACTTACAGAGCATAACAAAGGCTGTATCAGAAGGCAGTGTCTGGCATCTCCATGAGGAACCTGGGCTCATGGTTTGTTAGGATACAGAACTCAGCACATACTCATGGCTGCTTCTGTTACAGAGAAAAAAACCACAAAACAACATCAGCCAAGGGCAAGTCTTAAGATAACTAGGACCAACCTTTTAAGAGTCTTCTTCTGTAGAGTGACACAAGACACTAAATTTCTGTAGCAGTGAGAGAAACAGCCACATGACATGGTGGATTGAAGAGGCTCGTTTGAGGCTTAGTGCTTGGGGTTTTCACTGGGGGGCTAGAACGTGCCAAAATTCCACTCCTAGAAGGAAGACACATGCCATAATGGCTACACATGCTTTTGGCAGAGTGAGCATGCTTACTTCCAAGGAGAGTTTCATGTCACCACAGAGATGGAGGGAAGCCAAGCCCCAGCCTTTCTGGTCATTCTACCTATAGTGAGTTCTAAGGAGAAAGTATGCCCTGGTCTTGTCCTTCTATACTGGTAATTTATCTGACCACTGGTTTCCTCTTCTTCAGACCCTACTTTAGTCATTTCTTCAGCAAAGGCACAGTCAATTCTGGTCTCTGCTTTTTCCTGTAGCATACAGAGTTCATTTACAGTAAACAAGCTGCACTATAGAATCTACTATTTTATAGTCTTTGTCTATGTGGTATTCTCCCTCAGCAAGTCCATGTGCATTGCTCAAAACACTGAGAGGAATTAACTCAAATGCCTCGCAGGGATGAGCAGTGTCCAGGAGTGAGGAGAGGATTTCAAGCACTGCAGAGAATTTCTCCATTTCCAAGACAGCAGATTTTCTGCTTCCCAGCAGAGTATCCACTGGATGTATTTCACCTGATGACATCACTTCATAACTGACACAAAAATCAGAGACAATTTCTTACTTACATCCATTATTTCAACAATGAAGGACTTTTTCACTTAGAATAAATATATATTTAATACAGCTATATTCCAAGGATATGGTTACAACATAATGAGTACCAGAAGAATCATCATGGAAACCTAGAAAGGTGTAAATGACTGAACTAGAGTCCAGGTGCAATGAATAAATTCGCTGTGAATGTGTGTCATGAACACTTCTCTTCTGTGAGGACAACATTGAGAGCCTTTGGCAATTGAGTTTCTTTCTGGTCCTTTGCAGTCATACCACCTGTAGGAGTACTGGGCAAGGGATTAGGGGCAGGTACTTGTGGGAGCAGAAGCTGTGGGTTGAGCTTTGTTGTGTACCTGAACTTGTTCTGTAAATGTCTCCACCAAAACAAAGCCCAAATATTAAACTTCGATAGCATCCTATTGATCCTGGATCTGCTTTTTGGAGCATCTTAATTTGTGAGGTAAGAGAGCTTCTGAAGTTCCTCATCTCCTACTGCCTATATATCAGCACAGTTCTGTTTGGAACCTTATTTCTCCGTAGGTCATAATCATATTTCTAGAATTCTCTATAATTATTGAAGCCAAGGACAGTGTTTTCTTACACTCTTTATGCCATATAGACAGCACTTGCTAAACATTCACTAAGTGAATAAATGAGTTTAATTTCTTTGAGGCTTAATTTTAAATAATGTGACATTAATTATTTCTTCTCTTTTTCTGTTGTAGAAGAAAGCAGATAGAAAGATTAGAAGTTGATCCCAGCAAGCATTCCTGCCCTGATGTGTCTACCATAGTACAAGAGAAAAAACACAAACCCAAAAGAATGGAATCTCAACCCCCAATTGTACCCAGTGAGGAAGACCTAGACTTTGATGATAACCCAGAAGTGCCTCCACTAATTTGAAACATGAGACTGTGTTGTCATTGACTGTGACCCACAAACACATGTTGCTTGGTGTTGACAGTGGATGTGTGTCATTCATGGGCTAAACATAGTTCATTATCATTTTATGGGTGTTGTAACTCCTACTCTGCATAGTAATATTCTTAAGTGAGTTTAAAATTAAATTGCCTTCCTTAAATGTGCTGTAACTTATCACTCATCTACAATTAAGCTTACTTATTAAAAATGCAGTGATATAATAGAACTATGACGTTCAATATTAAGAATGAATCATTTGACTGCTTGTTTATGCAATAGATGTGTCATATGGATTTGAGCAGATTGCTCAAGCTCGGAAGTTAAAACTGTAATCTCAGGTCTAACTGAAATGCTTTGACATGATTTTATCCAGTGTTTCCACTCTTCTTCTCAGTTTTTGCTTTCTCGGGTGGTGTAATGGCAAGAATTTGACATTAGATTCCTCTATTTGGATTCCTATGGAGTTACTGCATAAAGACTTTCAGCTGGTCCTTGATCTCCTCAGAACGAAATGGTTTCATCTGCACTAGGCTAACAGTAACGCTTGCTTCATAGGTTGGTCTCAAGGCCAGCTTTGTAACTCACCCTGTACAATGCCACTCCAATATTTCTTTGCTTGTTTACTTCCTTCTTTTTCTTCTTTCTTCATCATCTTCCCCAAACTACTCTTCTTACGCTAATTCCCTTTTCACTTTTTGATATTTCACCACCCCTACTTTATTAAAAAAAAATAAACTATTAACTCAATATTCATACACAAGCTAGAAAAAAAATGACTGACCATGGCTGTGCTATTCTCTGTTCTTGCCTTAACAATTAAGCCAGGCCTCCTCAAATGGATATCCAGTGAATTCTCACTGAGAAATCCTCAATTGTTTCAACAGTTCACAAGGAATTCTGCAATGCAGCGGTTTCGATGTGATTAAAAATGTCTTTCCTTAAAGTTTCATGTAATAAGAACTTGGTCCTGAGGCATCAGAATTCATGAAAGAGGCTACTGTATTGGTAGCTTTTCTCATCTCTGTAACCAAATACCTGACAAGCAGCAAACTTAAAGGTCATGGTTGAGGAGATGTAGAAAGACTACAATGGACTGCATGTGGCTCTCTCTTGGCAGGAGTGTGCCACCTTTTTTCCCAGATCTCAATGTGTTGGTTCTCCTCCTGCCTGAGGATTGTCTCCCTGCAACCCATGAAGTCAGGAAGTGCAATAGAAGTGGCTGGCAGGGGTCTTAGGTTATCTCCATGCATAGTCCTTGGTTGGAGTATCAGTCTCAGGAAAGACCCCTGTGCTCAGAAGTTTTGGTTCTGTTGCTCTCCTTGTGGAGTTCCTGTTCTCTCCAGATCTTACTGTTTCCCACTTCTTTCCTAAGATTCCCTGCAGTCTGCTCAAAGGTTGCCCATAAGTCTCAGCATCTACATTGATAGTCTGCAGTGCAGAGCTTTTCAGAGGTCCTCTGTGTCAGGCTCCTGACTTGTTCCCTCTTTTCTCCTTCTTCTGATGTCCAGCCTCTTTGCCTTTCTGGATAGGAATTGAGCATTTTAGCAAGAGTCCTCCCTTTTGATTAGTTTCTTTAGGTGTACAGATTTTAGTAGGTTTATTCTATATTATATGTCTATATGAGTGAATAAAGTATAATTAATAAAGAAAAAATACCTAGAGCACTATATTATCCTATATTATACGTGTGCATTTTTCTGCTTCTGGGATAGCTCACTCAGGATGATCTTTTCCAGATCCCACCATTTACCTGCAAATTTCATGATTTCCTTGTTTTTTATTGCTGAGTAATATTCCATTGTGTAGATATACCACAATTTATGCATCCATTCCTCCACTGAGGGGTATCTGGGCTGTTTCCAGCTTCTGGTTATTACAAATAAGGCTGCTACAAACATGGTTGAGCAAATGTCCTTATTGTGTGCTTGAGAATCTTTTGGATATATGCTTAGGAGTGGTATAGCTGGATCTTGAGGAAGCATTATTCCTAGTTGTCTGAGAAAAGTATCAGATTGATTTCCAGAGTGGTTGTACAAGTTTACATTCCCACCAGCAGTGAAGGAGGGTTCCTCTTTCTCTACAACCTCTCCAGCATGTGTTGCCTCTTGAGTTTTTGATCTTAGCCATTCTGATGGGTATAAGGTGAAATCTAGGTATTTTTTTAAAGATTTATTTTCATTCATGGATATATTTGTGGGGTACCCAAGGAGGCCAAAAGAATGCATCAGATCTCCTAGAGATGAAGTTACAGGTTGTTGTGAGTTACAAAGACATAAGTACTAGGAATCATGCATGGAATCTCTAGAAGACTATGGAAGTTTAAATGAGATACCCCCAGAAGGTTTGGACAATTAAATATTTGTATCCAGATAGTTACTTTTCAGGGAGGATTATAAATAGAATAGACAGTGGAAGTGGTTGAAGAGAAGGAACAGCATAGGAGAGGATGTGCTGAGGGTAATGAGGGTGGGGATCAGATGTGGGAAGAGTGGGGCCCTGGAGGATACAGGGGCTTGCAGAGAGAAGAGAAACATTCGGCAGGGGCATTTCTGAGACTGGAGACCAACAATAGGATAGGCTCCTGGAAGGATATGGGGGGTGACTCTACCTGAGACTCCTAGTATTGGGAGGTCATGGAGACTTGAAGAGATTACCCTCAAACCAGACAGGACTCCTAGTAGAGGAAGGGGAGCATCAACCAACACACAAAAACTTTGACCCAAAATTCAACCTGCCTACATGATGTTCAGGGATAAAGACAGAACTTGAGGCAGGAACTAGGAGGCAAGAAAAATGTAGGAATGATTTTTGCTGTCTCTCATCCACAGGTTTATGCTTAGCTAGCTTTCTTCTATAGTCTAGGATCACCTGACGAGAGATGGTGTCACACACAGTTGGATGAATGCTCCTAAATTAATAATCAAGAAAATCCCCCACATCAATGTTCTCAGGTCAAAACCTTCTTCTCAGTGATTGTAGGCTTATGTCAAGTTGACAAAGGCTGGAAACAGCCCAGATGCCCCTCAACTGAAGAATGGATGCAGAAATTGTGGTACATCTACACAATGGAATATTACTCAGCAATGAAAAATATGGAAATCATGAAATTTGCAGGTAAATGGTGGGAACTCGAAAGGATCATCCTGAGTGAGCTGTCCCAGAAGCAGAAAGACACACATGCTATATACTCACTCATATAGACATGTAATATAGGATAAACCTACTAAAATCTGTACATCTAAAGAAACTAATCAAGAGAGAGGACCCTGACTAAAATGCTCAATCCCCATCCTGAAAGGCAAAGAGAAAGGACATCAGAAGAAAAAGAAAACAGAAAACAAGTTAGAAATCCACCTCTGAAAGGCTCTGCCCTGCAGCCTATCAAAGCAGACACTGAGACTTATGGCCAACTGTTGGGCAACATGCAAGGAAACATACATCTTATGTAAGAAGTGGGAAATAGTAAGATCTGGAGGGGACAGGAACTCCACAAGGAGAACAACAGAACCAGAAACTTGAACACAGGGGTCTTCCCAGAGACTCATACTCCAACCAAGTAACATGCATGGAGATAACCTAGAACCCCTGCACAGATATAGCCCATGGCAGGTTAGTGTCCAAGTGGGTTACATAGTAATGGGAAGAGGGAGTGCCTCTGACATAATCTGATTGGCCTGCTCTTTGATCACCTCCCCCTGAGGGGGGAGCAGCCTTACCAGGCTACAGAAGATGACAATGCAGCCACTCCTGATGAGATCTGATAGACTAAGATCAGAAGGAAGGAGAGGAGGACCTCCCCTATCAGTGGATTTGGGGAGGGGCATGTGTGAAGAAGGGGGTGGGAGGGTGGGATCGGGAGGAGAGGATGGAGGTTCTTATGGGAGGGATACAAAGTGAATAAAGTGTAATTAATAAAAATAAAAAACATTTCAGAATAAACTTAACCAAATTAAGTCAATGAAAAAAAAAGATGCTCCATTTCTTGTCAAATTGACACAAAAACACACCAGTTTAGGCTTTAACTTTTCATTTTCTGTACTTAATATATCATGTTAATGTTATAATATAAATCACAGCCCATCTTCTTCAATCTGATTGTCTCAAAATCCAAATTCTTTCAACTGTGGGCTCCTGTAAAAGAAAACTTACATTTTTATCAAATTCTAAAAGTAAACAGTTAAGGCATAATATCTCTGGTCAAGGCAAAAACAAAATCCAATAGTGAAAAATCTAAATTCTGTAGCTTAATATTTGACATCTGGGACTCACTCATGACCTCCTGGACTACAAAGTGTTTGAGCAGGAGGTCCTTTCTCCAGCTCTGTAGTGCAAAGCACACACAACTTGCATTGCAGGCTCGAACTGGCTCCACGACTTCACACCTGACTCTGTCATTGGCAGTCATCCCAATGTTATGGTACCAATATCCTAGGGATTTCCACTGCAACTGTGGCTACACCTTCACCACAGGCATCTCCTGGCCTCTCCACATGGACTCTTATCCCCCTCCCATACAAAGTCTCATCTTCTCTCCATAATCCCTTAAGTGTTGCAACTTTCATCCTTTTAAAACCATTACCAGGTGGGAGACTCTTCTAAACTCTCACGTCGAGCTACCAGCATGACTTGTAGCTTTGAGCACCTTGGACACAGCTTCTGTGCATGCATCCTAAGAAAAATATTTTCCTATTGTTGAAGTACAGCACAGATTTCACTCAATGGTGTTGAACTCTTATTAATCAAGGCTGATTCTTCTATATTAGCTGACCATGAATCAGAGATTTTTTTTTTAATTCAAAATATCACACAACTGGTCTCAGTAGTGTCTTTTTTCCCCCCTCTGTAATCTAATCTCAAAAGCCAGGCCTCCATTGTCTGCATTCTCTCAGAAATCTTCTGTTGTAAACTCCCACAACAATAGTTCATTAAGCTTTGAGAACTCAATGGCTCTTCTTTTTCTTTTCAGTTTTCTTTTTAATTTCAGTGTATTTACTTTACATCCCAAGGGTTCTCCCTTCCTCCCCTTCCCTCAGTCCCCACTCTTCAGTTTCCCCCAGAAAAGGGGAGTGCCTTTCTCCCCTCCCCCACATTAGCCCTTTCCAGCACACCAGGTCACATCAGGACTGAGTATATCCTGAGGCCAGGCAAGGCAGCCCCAAGAGGGGGAAGCAATCCAAAAGCAGACCACAGAGTCTATGTTTGA